ACAAGGGCTCAGTAATGCCCCTGCCACGTTCAACAGGTGTGTATCACATCTGTTGAGGCCAGTACGAGAATTCGCGCCGAGTTATTTCGATGACGTATTCATCCATAGTCGAGCTATGGATGGAAAGTCGGACGTTGAGGTTCACAGGTACCACGTCCGACAGGTTCTTACAATCATGCGAAAGCATCAATTGTATGCAAACCTCAAGAAGTGTATTTTTGCAGCAAGCGAAATACCACTTCTTGGGTGCATCGTTGGTAAGAACGGTGTACGTCCTGATCCCGAAAAGATCAAGGCGATCACCGACTGGCCTGTGCCGGTCGATGTCAAAGGTCTTCGAAAATTCCTTAGCTAGCGGCGTATTTGCATAAGTATTCACGCAATTACGCCGAGATGACTGTACACCTCTCTCGTTTGTTGAAAAAGAACGAGAGGTGGTTATGGAACGCTGAATGTCAACGCTCCTTTGAGGGTATCAAGCAGAGCTTGATACAATCCCCAGTCCTAGCAATAGCCGATCAGGACAGGCCATTTCATGTGGTCTGTGACGCCAGCGATTTCGCAATCGGCTGTGCATTAATGCAGTACGATCTTGAAGGCGTTGAACGCGTCGTCTGCTATCAGTCGCGTCAGCTGCAACCAGCTGAGCGGAACTATCCAGTGCATGACAAGGAACTCCTTGCCATGAAGTATGCACTCGCGAAGTTCAGAGTCTATCTATTAGGAGATAGACCCTTCGTTGTTTACACTGACCATGCGTCATTACGCACGGCAGTGAACAGCCCGCACCTTTCACAACGAATGGCGCGGTGGTTGTCATTCTTTGCAGAATACAACTTTACGGTCGAGTACAAACCAGGACGACTTAATGTCGTCGCTGATGCACTCTCACGTCGTCCCGACTTTGAAACAGTCGCGAAACCCAACAGTGAGACAGTCACTGTTGCGGTTATGACGTCCTCAGTTCCATCTACAACGTTGTATGATGATGTGAGGCGGGCATACGCCCAAGATGGTGAGATAGTGAAGTTGTTGTCACATCTCTCCCAACCATCTCGAGAATCGTTGAAACGATTGTCGTCTGCGTATCGATCTGCATCAGATCGATACACTACTCGTAACGGTTTACTGTACTATACAGCCGTTTCTGGTGACACACCACGTGTTGTCATTCCAGATGATACTGATCTGCGTTTGCGGATCATGTTCGAGTATCACGATGCTCCTATAGGAGGACATCGTGGCCGAGAGAAAACATATCTCACGGTAAGTCGAGACTTTTACTGGCCCCGCCAGTATCAGTTTGTGCGAAAGTATGTTCGCGCATGCGAAGTCTGCCAACGAGTGAAGTCAAGTCCTTCACTGCGTGCACCTTTACAGCCTCTACCGGTTCCGGCTGAGTGCTGGGAATCCATCTCAATGGATTTCGTCTTCGGGTTACCCAAAGACGCACGCGGGAATACGGGTATTCTCGTATTTGTTGACAGATTCAGCAAAATGGTACACCTTGTGGCTGTACCAGAGACAATCACGGCAAGTGGCTGTGCTTGTGTCTTTATTGACACCATCTTCCGACTTCATGGGTTGCCCCGTGAACTCGTATCAGACAGAGATCCACGATTCACTGCTGATTTCTGGCGTTCCGTGTTCAAATCACTCGGAACGCGCTTGAAGATGTCAACATCTGATCATCCAGAGTCAGATGGTCAGACGGAACGTGCCAATCGTGTCCTTGAAGAGATACTTCGAGGATACGTACACTCCTTTAAGAGTTGGAGTGAGTTTTTGCCGATGGTAGAGTTTGCCATCAACAACTCGGTGCATGCGTCCACGACACATACACCGTTTTACGTGAATGGCTTGCGCCATCCGCGTGTACCCACCTTACTAGAGTGTAACTCTGGTTTAAGGGGGGGAGGGACTCGCGCGAGCAAAAACCGATTTGGTTCACGCTCATCACGCTCTGACGAAGAAGTCATTGCGTTTGATGCCGATATCGATAACATCGATATCGAAGAAGATGATGCCAGTGAGAGTGCGGAAGCCCTCACTGAAGACAATGATCCCAGTGAGAGTGCGGAATCCCTCACTGAAGAAAAGGTTGTTGTCGCTGCAGTGCGCTCACAGCACACTGAAGCTAACGAGTCATCAGATGAGTTCATACTGGCTCGTGAAACGGTAGTCCGTTTTGTGCAAGACTCCATCGCCGAAGCGGTGGATAAGCAAAAGCAAAACGCTGACAAGAATGGAAGGGCAAACACTCTTTTATTTAATAAAGGTGACTTAGTCCTACTGTCTACGGTTAATCTACCAAAACATGTAGTGACTAACTTGGGTAGCAGTAAACTACTACCCAAGTACATCGGCCCATTTCGTGTATTGCACCGCCTAGGCAATGCATACACGATCGAGTTACCACGTAAGATGCGAACGCATCCCACGTTTTACGTTGGTCGGCTTAAGCCGTACCATCAGTACGCTGCTTCTTCCGATGAAGAACGCCCTTGCGCTCAAGCATCTCGCAGAGAGCCTTGTGCTCCCGATGGTGGGCATCAACAAGGGTCTGAAGAGCAGTTATCTCAGCCCGAGACCGATCAACAATCCCACGAGCTACCCTTAGCTCGTCACGAAGAGATGTCAGAGATCTCTCGTTCTCAAGCTGAGCAAAGGCAAACTCAGCTCGATGCTTCGAGGCAGTGTCCACCATCTGGAGACGCCTATTCCGCTCATGCTCGAGATCGTCGCGTAACCCTTGCGTTACGCGATCAAAGAAGCTCTCGGGAACACACGGATCCCCATGATCGTGTGGAGAGCGTCTTTCCTCCTCCTCCACCTCCATTAGAGGACTCTCGCGGTGGCCAGCGCTATCTAGTAGAGCAGCTGTTGAACCACCGCGACGTGAACGGACGTCGGACGAGTTACCTCGTCCGGTGGCGCGGCTATCCCCCGTCCTGGGATTCTTGGGAGCCCCGCTCCCAATTGATGGTTGACGTACTGGGTCTGGTCGAGCAGTACGACGCGACACATCCTGTGCCGCAGAAGGACCGCCGGAGAAAGTCTTCCCGGCACGGTCGTAAAGGGATTTCAGGTTGTCAATCCCTTCGTACATCTCAGTAGAGACACGTACGCGCCACCACGGGCTGGTAAGGAGGTAAGCCTCCTTAGGTGCTCGTGCAGAGTTGTTCACACAACATGGGCACGAGTCTCCCCAAGAGAGGCAGGGTAATCCTTTCTCCCTTGACAGACGATGCAGCTTGTAGCGTGCACCTGTCGGGGTTCGCTTTTCAAACTTATCACGAGCTTTGATAAGTTTGTCGTTCCAAGCGTCACGACCTACATCCTCGAGATTATGGATGTAGGCGTTCCACGCCTGAAGCAGTGAGGGACCATCACGTTTGTGATTCCCACTGTACCATCGATGTTTAAAGAAAGCATCGATGAAGAACTCATTCTCAGCGCAATAGTTTTTCGCGCTGGGGTCAAGGTGATGAATCCTTGACGAATCGAACAATCGTGTTCGATAACGATCACTCGTCGTCGCCGACAAGTGATCCATGACAGATTTAGGAGGCATCCATGCCTTCTTTTCTGGAGCGAGACGCAACACATTGCGGTCCCGCTCTTCCTGCGACGTGCCGACAGAAGTACTGGCACCTCGCTGTGAAGTGGTGTCCATTGGAGAAACGACACCACTATTAGCGCCCGAGTCTCGCGACCTCGAGCGCCTTCGCTTGGCGATGGTTCATCTGACTGAGTCAGATGAACCAAAGATGCTGCGACGCAAAGCATCGTCCATGCCACGCTTGGCAGGCGGCTTGGATTCAATTGCCGTCGATACGGATCCGTCATCCGTATCAGGAGAGTACGAGACACCGAGCTCGTACTCTGTGAAGACACGAGTGTCTTCATGACCAGCGCCTGCATCACCAGGTGATACAGGCTGAGTCGATTCAGCAACCGATGGGACATCAGTTGCTGTAGTTTCTGCTTCGGCGTCCGCACAGAGACGTGCAGACGCGCTCTCGGCGGCCTTGCTCGCGCATCGCATGGGCTTGTTTACCATGCGATGAGATGTTGGAAAGTGGACGCGGACCAACAAGTGCAAACCCCGTCCCAAATGATTTGGGACGAGTATCCATTTAGTCAATCAGTCACTAAAGTGACTGATGGTTAAGGGGGGGGTGATGTAACGGGGTGAATCGTTACATAACAATTTATAAGAAATTGTTAATAGAATATAACTATAAGAGTTATATTCTCAGAATATTGTCATAAGGACAAATATTCGGTAGCACTTCCAAGTAGTTCCTAATTGGTTGATATAGGCCATTATATCAACCAACGAAGACGCGCCACGACAGACGCACGCAATGAGTGGTGAGCAGATAACTGATTTACACATTCGTATTTAGACATAGTTAGATGAAGATAAATAGGGATTTATTGCAGACATTAACTATTATAAATACAGTTCTACTTTTTACTCTAACCAAGTACTCGCTTCTTCTTACCGTCTTCCTCTGCACGTACGAGTGTACGTGAAGTTACGAGGCACCGCCTTATTCTGTTATCAGAATAAGTAGCTTGTACTGTCACCAGTACAAGCTTCAGGGTGCCCCGTTACACACTCCCTAAATGTACGAGGCCACCAAAATTCGATAACTAATAACCTTTGATAACGTTTACAAAAACGTGTTAATCGAGACTAAACGCTAGCAGAAGGAGGACTGTAGTCATCGACACAGAAGTTCGGTCAGACGTAAAAAAAAGAACTAAAAGGCAATGTAATGTCTCCGATCAGATGACCAGCAAATTCGTCACATCACATAAACGAGTCAGTCTGTGTACCCATGTATACCCCACCCCACCTCCCATCCATACAGTCTTGTCCATTTCTGCCTACCACACTATACATCCCAACATCCGTCAGTCCACCCCTCGAGTATACAGCACGTTCAGACTAGTACTGAATTAAGTGACCGCACGTCTGCCCGACACAAATGGCGTCTCCGGGACGCGACGTCGCGATCGCCGCGTCGCCCTGTTCGACCTTCGAGTTGCTGGACGAGAGCGGCCGCCAAGCTGCGCATCCAACAAGTCCTGCGCTCGTGCTCCCGCCGCCCCCAAGGGACAAGGGGCTGCCACGCTCTCGCGTCGATCCATCGCCGTCACTTCGGCGCTTGTACCACGCGCCTTCCAGTCATAGCGATGCGGGAGAGAGCGCGTCTAGTGACACAGCGGGTGCTGCCCTAACCCGCGAGCAGATCGAATCCATCAGTGACCTCTTTCCTGTGACAGGCGCCGGCGTGTTTACGAATCCTCTGAACATCGTGCCAACGCGAGACGCGTCGATCCTCATTGACACGGACGTGCAGCACGCCGCGGCCAGGGACGCCGGACTGCGTCTGTGCAGCTCCCAGCAGCAGCAACAGCAGCAACAGCAGCAGATGACGGCGATAGGAGGGACGTGCTTGACGTTGCCGTCGATCCTGATGGAGCTGAGGGGAGACGGAGGCGCCACGAAAGGGACGGCCAGTATCCCATCGTCGATACGCAATGTGTCGCTGGATGGAGACGTGATGGTGGGGCATGGCAATACACCGAGAGAGATGAACGGAGTTGTGGGGATCGACACGCTCAATCATGGACTGGAGAGGAGTCTCCCTGCTATGGAGCCGGCTGCTCGCCGGGCGCGGTGCATGTGGCGAGTCAAGCAGCGTGTCACGTGTCAGTTTTGTCGACAGCTGCCGCTCTGGCGACCCCAAGAGACACTGGTGTTGCTCTGGAAACGCATGATTCCGAATTGGGACTCGCTTGTGCTGAAACTGGTCTTGTTGCTGGCTGTGCTCAGTGTCTTGGCGGCAGTTGGCTCGGCTGCTCTGCTGTCCCAAACGGCGCCGAAGAAGGTTCATATGGTCGCACGGTGCACTGCGCCAGGAAGTATGCAGAGCTACTCGGCTTCGACGGCGTACGTAGCGGGCGTCTTGATCCCAGCGATGAACAACATTGTGTTTTTGGTCGTGTCGCTTTGGCTTGGTGTGCTCTGCAGTCGCAGCCGCAAACGTGTGCTGCGCAGTGCACCGTGCAGTATCAGCTCCAATCTGAGTACGTATCACTTGATTTTGTTGTACAATCGATTGACAGTGATGCTGAGAGCGTTTGCGTGCGAATAGAGTCAGCGTTCATGCTGCCGTGCTACGAAGCGATTTGGTACACTATTGCGGTGCTGTCAGCGATCGGCTTGATACTGTACACCGCTAGCTTCCAGGCTTATCGCAGCGAAAGTGGCAAGACATACAGCGCATTGACGCTAGAAGACGACCCGAAATACCCGTGCAATATCGTCACCATGCCGACCGTGTGGGTGTTGCAGTTGCTGCCGATGCTCATGATCCAGCGAAGCGTCTCCCAAGAAGCAGTGCTTCGCGCTATCGCATACTCTGGAGCAGTGGTCGTCGTCCTCATCGTATGCAGTATGACGCTGTTCAAGGTTGGAGATGACATAGCGGACGCAACCGAGATGACCATCTACATCCTGCTCCTCCTGTTTTATTTCTGGGCCAAGTTTGTTTTTCACGCTCGGGCCAGTTTCGACTTCTTTTTCGTTGCTGCTGTGGTATCTTCACTGGCTAACATCGCCGGTTCAGTGATGGGGCTCGCTCATATGGATGAAACGATAGTACTGCCGGTTGCTCACTGCATTGTTACTGGACTGGACGCCCTCATCGTTGTAGCTGTCTTACTCTCTCTGCGTGCTGACACTCGCTACTGGCTGGCTATCGATGACAATGGATCAGGCACGACCGGATCGAAGAGTGCGATACGTCGCTATGTGAATCTGTTATCCGAGCGCGGTATGATTACCAATTTTTCTACACGTACGTCGGTGTACGATGTTCATCAAATGATCGAGGAACATCGGCATAACGTCGTGGACTTCTCGGCTCTAGCACTGGACTGCATAATTGCTCAGGGTGCCACTTCTGTTGTGATGCGCGGAACGCTGCGGAGAAGTACCCCTGTACCTATTGCACTGAAGATTTACACTGACGTGCAAGTGACGAACGAGGAAGTACAGCGATTCTCACGAGAGACGGCACTAAACGTACAGCTCTCTCACCCGAACGTCGTTCACTTCTACGGTCTGTGTGTGGTGCCGCCATCGATCTCCCTTATCTTCGAGTTTTGCGAGTATGGTGCATTAGACGCCATATTGCGTGAGCAGCCCGAGATCTGGACACTTGCCGCCAAGCTTAAAGCGTGGCTGGACGCATGTCGTGCGGTTGCTTACTTACATAGTTTTTCGCCTCCTCTTCTTCATCGCGACATTAAGACGGACAACTTCCTCGTGGGTCAGGATTTTATCATAAAGCTTGCAGATTTCGGCGAAGCCAATTTGCTGCAGCCGCGGACGGATGGGACAATGACAATCGCTGGCACGGTCGACTACATGGCTCCAGAAATGATTAAAGGTGGCAAGACAGCGCGTTATGGCACGGCAGTAGACGTTTACAGCCTGATGATCACGCTTTGGCAGATTATGGTGCCTGAACAAAGTCCTTGGGAAGCCAGGTCTCATCTTGAAGTGTATCGCCGTGTGACTTGTGGTGACAGGCCACCTCTCCTTCCTTCCATACCGAAAGCCTGCGCTGACATTCTTGAAGCTGGTTGGGCAGCCAACCCGAATGATCGTGCAGCTGTGGAGGACATCATACCCTCGGTTCACCGCCTGTGGCTGCTTGCACTGCACCAAAAGCCTTTGAAGCGCACGAAGCATTGACGTAATTTGCAAAACCTTTCGTCGATGCTTGCTGGCCTGGATTGAGAGCATATACGCTTGCTTGTATCTATCGTGTAAACGTGCTGTCGAGTACAATGGTTATTAATTAAATTTATTGACTACATGTGGTTCATGGTCATACTGTCAGAGATCTGTCAGTGTTCGAGAAGGCTCCAACAAAATTGCCACGGGCACACCATTGGTGGCGCTTTGGTGATGCATTCGTGACGAGCCGCTCTTGCGCTGCAGAGAGGATGAAACTGCGTCGTTGTTGTCGACACCTTTTTTCTTTTTCTTGTCGCTCTTCGACTTGCTTTTGCTTGACCCGTGCGTCACAGCGCTACCAGAGGAAGATTTCGTCGGTCTACTTTGCTTTCGCAGTAGTTTATCTCGCTGAGCTTGCCTTTGCTTAACTTGCCGTCTCTTCTTGCGCTCCTTTTCCTTCTCCTGCATTTGCTGCCAGTCTATGTCGAATGCTTGTGACTCAACGCTTTCTTCCAGGACCGAATCGTCGTCCGCTGATGCGTCCTCAAAATCATCGAGACTACCATCTATCAACGGAGTGCGCGACGATGAAGGTACCGATAATGTTGCGTGTTCACCAAGCTCCATTGATGTTAGCAGCCCAGGAAAGGGCTCGCTTGGTTCTCGCTCCGTTTGCGCAGTAGGATGGTTGGCCAGTGCATCAACAGGAAGCCGCTTTTTAACAGTCTGAATTTCAAAATTGAAAGCCTCGTCAACTCCAGAGAATGACCTTTTGTCGTCATCGTCACTGCTGTCACTACGGTCATCTTGGTAATCCGGTGTATTTGATTCGATCAACGAAGACATCGACAAGACATCCACGTCTCTAGACTTGTCAAAAATGTCAAAAGCAGCAGCAGCTTCGTCGATCGACGAGACCTCCACTGTCGTGGCTGAAGGCTCTTCCACCATATTAGCAAGCAATGATTGCTCCACCGGATCGTCTGGTTCTCGAACCGTCACGCCTGAACTTGACACAGCATGTTCAGCTATGTCCGTGTGCTGGCTTTCACCATTAAACTGCAACTCCACTTTTTCATCACCTTCTGAACTCAAGTCAATCGAATGATCCTCCGCTACCTCGGCCGTTGATGATGCACTTGCAAGAAACGGTGTGGAAGTTGTGTGTTCCGCAAAAATGTCACGTGCAGCTGCTACTTCTAGCTTTTCAGCATGCAGACTGCGTTCCAAGAGCCTCGCACTTCTACCAGTTACACTGCTTTCACCGACCACATGATGGGACTTGTGTCTTCGGGGTTTTGTCTTCCGAACCTTTGACCAGTTGATTGAAAAGCTTTCATCCTCGTCGGCTGCACCGAACACTTGTGGATCTGCAGAGCGTGAATAGCTCTGGCTGGCCATACCATCTGGCACCACACGGCTTATATTAACAGCGGGAACGGCTGTACTTGCACTCATCTCATCATCTGACACGGACAAACGAGACTCCCGGTTGAGCACGTCACTTAGTTCAGGTACAGAACGTTCGTCGTTATCATCATGACCATCCTCACTGCTGTATAATGTAGTCACATCACGATCACTCGAGGCGTCGAACAAAGCGTCGATCGGGTCTTCAAAATCATCGTCGCTTGCTTCTCTTATTCTCGCGTGCTTTGTAGTCAGTTTCGAAGGCGCCGTAATCGTACTCACACCGGGAATAGCATCCTCTACACCTGCATCCGTTTTCCACTGAAGTGGCTGCTTACCCGGTCTTTTCAGTGGCAACGTAGAATCAGAGTCGGAATCAAAATCGTATTTGCCGGACCCTGTTTCAGGTTCAGCTTTGTAAGAGAGTGCGCCACCAACCGATCCGTCTTCGTTCGGACCATCCTCAAATAGTTGAGCAAAAGAATCCTTGTGTTGCTTAACAACCTTCTTCTTGTTGCCTGGTCTTCGTCTCGTCTGCTCTGACGTTAGCCGAACGGACATGGCCCACGAACCACCAGGCTTGTTATTATCTTCGTCACTGCTGTCGTAGTCAAAAATACTCTCTTTGCGAGCTTTTCTTGATTCTGCAATGCCACCGCTGTCTCGCTGTAGCTTCAAAGACTGGTTGCCCCTGCTTCCTTTTTGATTACGAATCAACTGTTTTAGTGCTGCCAGCTCACTTTCTAGAGAGCTGATCTTGTCCACAATAATCTCAGCCACATCGTCTTCGTCAACGTCTCCACCACTATCGTTCTTGGTAGCTAACACGGTATCGTATTCACGATCACCCGTGTTAAGGGTATGCTTCTCAGACCCCACCAGTTCTGTGGACCCCAGCAGCTGTACATCTCTAGTAGCCTCTGTACGAGCGGGGACCCGTGCTGCTACGTACCCACCCGTGGTCGAGTCGAAAACGTATTCGTTGGCTTCTTCGAATTCGGCAAAGAATTCATCAACTGACGTCTTGCCTTGCGATTTACTCAATGTCAACCCACACTTCAAGTCATCCATGATGCCACCCGTTGATGTGGGTTTCGAAGATATCTTGTGTGACACTGATGCCCCATAGTTGTCGTTATAGCCCGCACGGGGCTGAAGACTCGTTGATACAGCGCGTGTTGCGGTTCCAGGTCCAGATACCGATTGTATACTGCTCCAGGTGAAGGCAGAACTCTGGGTACTATCCCTTCTGTCCTTTAGCAACGATAAGGCTGCAGATTCTCTCCATGCCTCAGTGGAGCCATTGGCAGACTTAATTGAGCCAAGAACAGGAGCGAGCTCGTTCCCAAGCACAGGCTCATCGTCTTCACCAATAGGCCTTCGTTGGTCAAAACGAGCGACACCTACTGCACCGATGGATTGACCACCATTCAGGTTATGTCCAACACGAGAATCCCATCCAATCATGCTACTTGTACCGAAGTGGTCGCCAAATTTATTGGTAGGTGCACTGTCTTTTGGTGACATAAAGAGATCATCGAACGTTCCCCGACGTTTACGCTCTGGCTCTTGCTTCCAATCATGCTGTTTTATCCCATCGTCCTGTAGTAACAACGGTGCTTCCACGACAGCTGGCACATCCGCAAGCGTTGCCATAGTAGGCCTAGAGTTCTTCCGAGTGACCGACTTTTCTCGACCAACACTGCTGCAGTTCGCAACGTTAGGCCGTACCGACCCGTCTGGAACGGAACGGTCCGAAACGATGCTGTCACGATGCTTTGCGCTCGCTCCAGATGAAACGTGGTTCTCAGTAACCTCTGCTTTCGGTGGAGATACCACGACAGTATGAAGCATTTCAGAGTACTTTGGTGGTCCAGATTTTCTCTTCGGTCCCATACCGAAAAAACGCTTGAAAACCCTGGTGAAGCCGCTCTTTGGTTTTTCGCCCGTCCCCTTCTTGTCTTTTGCATCACCAGCTCTACTCCCATGATTTACAACAGGAGAGTTAGAAGCCTGCGATGGACGGTCCACGATGCTGTAAGAACTGTGCTCACTTGAAAAGTCATGTGGCAGCGCTGACTTGTTAACCCACGCATTGTCGCGGGCAATCTGCTCCTGTCGACTTTTGTCTTTTTCGTGCTGAACTTCTCGCTCGGCTATCGTTGCCTCAAAAAACCCCGGCGAATCATCAATAACCAACTTGTCTGCATCTTGCTCGTAAAATGTCGGCTGAGCAGCGGCCGGAATAGGCACGGTCGGACCACGCATTCTAGACTCATCTCGTGATGAATATGAAGAATCCAGTTCGTCCAGCGTCATATCTTGGTTGCCTCGAGCGCGAGACCTGCAATCTTCTGTCTTCCCCCTTTGTCGTGTTAGTGATGCAACCCGACGCTTCGGTGCGCTCACCACATCCTTAATAGTAGTTCGTGCCAGTATGTTGTGCTCATGCGGTGTGATATTTTGTTTCGATTCCCTTTGATCACGTTTTCCACTTTCGTAGCTATAAGGTACAGCCAACGGCAACTGCGTAGGTCGAGGCATAGCAACTGAGCAATCATCATCGTGGCCAAGTCCCGGACCACTTAGGTCAGCATACTCTAATTGCTCGACTAAGATGTCATTCTCAGAGACCCATCTGTGCTTTGTCTCGCACCCGGTAAAAGTCGATAGGGCGGCACTCTGTTGCTTTGGCCGAGGCATTTCAATGGTTGTATCATCTTCGTGCCCAAGACCGGGCCCACTGACATCATCATATCGAAACTGGTCCGAGATATACCCGTTGCCGGTGATCCCAGAAGTCAGCGTGCTGCCAGCAATCGATCCTAACACTGAGGTTTCATCAGTTGTAGGCGCAACTGTATACGTATCCTTGATGCGGTCTCTCCAGCCTGGTCCTTTCGAGCTACCATCTTCACTATATTCTTCGACACTACCATACGAGTGTGTCTGTCGATCGATCGCATCCGTAAACCAACTTCCGTCTGCATCGTCAAGAAGTGGCTCCCTCTTTACCACAAGTTTTTCTTCAACGTCCATTGTTTGACTACAAAAAGTCGTCACGGCAGCTGGACTCATCGCTGTGTTTCTCTGCTGTTGTACCGTCTCGCTTCCCCTTTTCTTTTCTGCCTTGCGCGCATTCCTCTCCACCTCTTTCCCTGCCGTCGCGCCTCCACCGCAAGGCCGAGGAACCATCTGCACAGGCGACGACGTCACTGTTTCCCGCTCGTACGCATCTTGTCCAGCAAGAAGCTGGTTGTTGCACGTTGCACACACTCTGTGCTTTCGACGTGAGAACTCAAAGTACACAAAGCACGAGCAGTCCGAGCACATGACACGTCCACAATGACGGCAGTGGTGTCTGCGTTTCACGAGCGAAAAGTCCGAGTGGCATAGTCGACACGTAGCCACGTGAACGTCCGACTCCCACTGCACATTGAAAAGCTCCTGACTTGTCCTGCGACGAGTTTTTTTCTTCGTGTGCTTTTGTCTCCACTTTGTTGACGGTCCAGACGACACAACTCGGTCCGTTGCATGGCTAGACACAGAGTCGGTTCGATCACGCCCGTACGACCTGGAAACAGCACCGCTGGACGCTGCAGGACTCTGGATATAGGACGGAATGTCCAGTGCAGGTTGATGCGAAGATAAAGTCGCATCAACAGGCGGCTCGTGCCTCACAACAAGGGGGTGACTGGATGCTTGCGAAGGAATTCCGTACAAGTCGTCAAAGTCTCCGTCGTCCTACAGCGTCTCAAGCGGAAAACAGACAAAGGGTAAGGGACAGGCGTGGAGTCGAAAGACGTAAAGAGACAGAGCAGTTGGAGCTGTACCTCGGTGAAGAACGGGTCGTCCATTGCGCCGGCAAAAGCGATGGGTACAGAGCTAGCGCACGCTCGTCCGATGTCGTGGTTTGGTTTTCTTCACGACACACCAAATTGACCTGAACGAAGCGAGCGCTGATGTCAAATATCACTTTTGCGAGACGCAGCGTTAACGCAACGTAAGATCAACGTGCGGACTTCAGCAGTTTTGTCAAAAATAATACGAAAAAAAGAGGTAGGGTCTTTGATTAAAAAGCGGTTTTTATAAATATTCAGAGCAAAAAACGGTCTTTTTCTCGTGCTGGCCGATTGCTTTTGCGGTTTGTCTCACTGGCGTACGAGTCAGCGAGCCTTCACTTGCTACAGCTGGAATTGGCTGGAATGCTTTAGTTAAACCCGTTGAAGTGAGCTTTATGGATACTTTACCGAAAGTAGCCAACTCATCACTTGCCTTGTTATTCGGCTTGCTATTTGCCTCGCTTCTAAGCCTAATTTGGCGCTATCAATCATTAGCCAGTTTTAGGGGATTCATTGCTGCAGCCGCACGCACCTTTATCCAATGAAATGGAAGGGAAGTGGAGCACATTGCTCGTGACGAGAGCTTGTCGGATGATGCACAAATGCAGAGTCTGTAAACGTCAAAGGTGGGTGAATGTCCTGCTTTTTCCGGTCGTATTTTTTGCAGGAGCGATTATAGCACAAAGGGTTGGAATCATCCAGTGCGCTTTGAATAATGGCCACCTTTGCAGTAGTCCACTGCTGACATAATTCGTCTGGATGAATGACGCGATCGTGAGCTCGCGGCGGGAGGTCCGGGTCAAGCAACGATGAAAGGAAGGTAAGAACTAGCCAAGCGCATTGTTCCGCTGATGGATGCCGGCGTACAGCTCCAATTCTAGTATGTCTTCGGTGAGCTCGAGAAAGAGACGAGTGATCCCAGGGACCAGATACGGCTGTTATCGCGGAAGTTGTAGTCTTGAAATTTGAGATGGGTGAGGAAAAAAATTCAAAAGGATGCAGCGACTCCGGCTCCTACTCCGGCTTCAATCGTGCGAATCTCACGATCGTCCCAATGATAGAAAGGTTGAAGAAACCGCCGCGGATCAGATCGGAGATCGAAACGTCGATGGAGACGCACCAGGCGAGTCAAAACTGTCACAGGAGACACCGGAAGCGTCAGCGTTAAGGTAAGTGCGGTACTTTGATGCACGGGTTTGTTGTAAGTTGCGATCGCGTTTTGCATTTGAACTCAGCACTAAATTAAGAGCACAACACCGAGAATAGACGGTGGAATAAGAACGAGTGAAATGACACGCAGGCAGACGTCAACACGACGAATGTCACTATTTGTACGAAAACACAGTAACAAGTGAAACAACATCGCGAAATGTAGTGACTTGGAAAACGACATGCAGAACCACATCTCCTTTGACCTTTGAGCTCGCAAAAGAAATGGAATAGACTGCTGTCTCGTGTTATACACATCACTGCACGCCATGATCGTGATTGGCCAATCGTGCTAACCATCATGGTGGATGTAGGTGTGGCTGACGACTAAACGGACAAGTACCGACGTGCCGTACAGTATTTCGGTAAACTTGGGTCACGGCCGCAGTAGCATCCGCACCTTAAATCATGGAGTAAAATTGGCCAAACCAGTACTGCAAAGGCTTCATAGTTTCTGTTAAATAAACTTGATCTCGTACCCATGGGGTGCAGATGCGTACATTCTGTAAAGTGGCCTATTGTCGTCAAGAGGTCCATGTTCTAAAATAACAACTGTTCTAAATAACGTAGAAGAGACTGGTCCGGCCTGGAAGCATAGTTTAGACCTGCTTGACATAAAGGCCGCCAGCTATCGCAAGTGCAGCTGGCAGTCGCATCGTCAATCTCATTAGGGTCTCGCACATCGACGTGAATACACACAGAGTCGCTGACACCGTCCAGCTTGAAACATACCACTGTCGTTCGACACATTTTCGTCAACTCGGTCCGTCCGTCCGTACAAACCGAGTCGCTCTAGTTTTGCAGTCTTCGGACTTGCACCGACTTTTGAGCGATTCAATTTGAAGCATCCCCTCCATGAGTGGTGACATGTTTTGGAGCGCAGGGCAGACGTGAGGAGGCTGCTTCGCCATCGATGAGTTCGTGCGTTCAAGCGCACGCACTTAGTCGCTTGGAAAGCACCACCTGCTTCCAATTGGATAGACGACACCAGCACCAAGGCTTTTTGCCAGCAGAACATGCATTGTTGATTGTGGTGGTGGTGGGTGGCTCGCGCAAGAGCTGCATGGGCTCTACTTTTTACAGGCACGGCAGAAAAAAAGCAATGGGGTAGGAGGCGATCGCGCTGCACTTTCCATTGGTTCAGTGGACACTCGCCACAGGGTAGCAGCTGCTTGTGCACATCGGCAGCATCGATCCGTCATCGTTGTGAGTAGCTGGTTCTCTTGGTCGCATAACTTGGGCAGCGTAGTACTGAATGGGTCCTACTTTTTCTCGAAGACGTGATCAAAGCGGTGCGCCGCCTCTGTTACCTATCACAGCACCTCAGGTATAGTAGCAGCAGCAGTGCGCGAACGATCATAGGCAAGAGCAAATACAGGCGCAGGCTGCGAATAAGCACCACGCACTGACGTCGGACAGGATTCGTTCACGAGCGACCAGTCTGCGTTCAAGCACACGGTCGTTTGGACAGGACCGAACATCGATGTGTGACGCTTACTCGAGATGGGCGCGAATTCTTGAAGACGAAGTAACACCGAGTCGTGCACTAAAGGATCACCTACTGCAAGGCGTTATCCGAGCGTTGCTGGCATCATCCCGAGAAAGAAGCAAGCCATTTCACGCTCCATACACCAAAACAGTTGCATCTTATTAACTTGACGAGCGAACGGCTGGTACGGCAAAAAACTCGTCGGTGCCGTGGTTGCACCCCGAATCGCTCGTTTCCAGCAAACGAGCCGTCGAAGCACATGTCACCAGGAGACCAGCCGACGTTGACCGGACGATCCCAATCCCAAGGGATCGGATGTCGCGATTGTGTGCGGCATCTATCGAATCGCAGATCTGATTGGGCCCGTCGCCAGGGATTACTGCGTTCAGGCAGACTGAGAACAGGACTCTACCCCTCCTGCCAGTTCTTAATGCCCAGACCTTGTTGTAAAAACAAGCCAGCTGAAGGTCTGGCATACAAACACCTTGATCAGATGAACTTCCGGGGCTCGGTTTTGTTCCCCCATCGGACATGACTCGATTATCCGGCTAGTGGGCGACCACGTTCTGCTTCTGGTCGATCGCTCGCTCGCGTCTTGTGAATGTGAGCTACCGACGGGGCTCTAAAAGCAGAGGACGCACTGGCCGGAGTCGTCCAGTCGCATAAGGAGATTCGCTTTCCGGCTGCCTGGTCGAGTCTATTCGTCACTTTCGCTTTTGCCTCGCCTGGGACGGAGAACAACTAGGTCCACAAGTGCCGATTCGAGGGGAGAGGGTTCCTACTGGACATTGGAAGACCCGACCGATCAACTGGCTGACTGACGGACTGACTGGCAACGCGTTCCGCTTTAGACCCCCTCGGTGCTGCTGCTGCTGCTGCTACGTCTTTACGCAATAGACGACCCTTTGCGCATGAGTGTCATGAAGCGCTTCCTGGCAGGGGAGCGGGAAACCAGGAGCATCCACTGCAACAACGACGCATCGTTTCTGGGCGTGGGCAACACGGAGTGTCTGCACGATAACATTGAGACGGCGGCGATTTTGCTGGCGGTCATTGTCGCCGTGTCGATTAGCGTGGAGAAGTTCATCCATTTCATTCGCGGCGTTATCAAGTGTCCGCAGCTTCGGCGGATTGTCAACCGCATCTTTGAGGAGATGATGATCATGGGGTTCCTGTCCATGGTCATCTTCGCGCTCAACACCAGTGGGGCCATGGTCTCGCTCACGCTGAACGAACTCACGGCGTACGAGAATCTCCGCTTCTACGAGTTCTTCCACTACATTGTGTTCCTCACGATGATCTACTTTATCATCATCGTCCTGCTGCTGCTATTCATCGGTACCGTCGTGCCTAAGCTCATTTGGGACATTAAACAAACGCCTGGCCAGTGCCAAGATGGCACCGTTGATATTCATGGCAACGACACGTATGACACGCGAGACCCGAGTTTTAGCACTGGCTTCAGCAGTGACTGCACTGGCAATAACTACCGCATGCGCCACTCTTTCATCCGTGGCACATCTTTTCTGGATCGTGAAATCAATCCATACGGCAGGGGCAGCAGTACCGGTGACGGCGAACATGGACCACACGGTGACTGCAACCTGTCAGTGCAATCCCGTGCAAACTTCGATGAGGATGGCGTGTATCACATGATGGCTACTAGAGCGAGAGCTCTGTCCGGTATGGACCTCGTCTTGGGTTCACGAGCGTACAGCCTACTTCTCCAGCGATACCAGCGTGAAGGATGGTGCTTACGCATCAACATCCACAAGCAGTGGAAGTTATGGAAGAGCTTTGAAATCCTCGCGTACAACATCTGCCAGAACCGGAGCGGCTACATCTACAAGAACCCCATTGAAATGGAGCGACTCTTCGGCATCAAGTCGACTACTCAAGCGTATCACCCGGACTTTAAAATGGCAGCTGGTGGCGACGCGAATTACGGGCACCGCGAAGAAGGAATGACCTACGCCAAGTATCATGTGCTATGCATGCGCAACATGCTTTTCCACATGACCCATATCCCGCCAAGCGCGTTCCTCATTTTCATCGTCATCTGTATGTTGCCAACACTCTTTCCCGAGCAAGACCGATGGATCTTCATTGGTGTGGGAGTTCTGCTGCTCTTGGTGAACGTTATCGTTTTCTTCAAGGTGCTGAAGATCTTGCGCGGTATCGTAGATGACCGTCTCCATATCATTTCCGAGCGAGAAATTGATGCGCGAATGACGAAAGTGCTCATGGCCTCTCGTCGTCTCAATTCAAAGCGCCAAATCCAGTCTGCAAATGTCTCCGATTCCAACTCTGCACCAGAGTCTGCTGGACATTCGAGCGTAGAAGAGCACGATTCTACGGCAGAAGATGGTCATGAAAACCGGCAGACTCCGCCCGTAAAGGGGATCAAGAAGTTTAGAGCAGCTGCGCTTGCTGTCCGCGCTGTTATTCGCATGCAAATGTCTGCACTTTGTCACCGGCAACTGCACTACCATGATGACCGGTTCTGGTTCCACAGTCCCAAATTTCTGCTGCGCCTCTTCCAGTTCGCCACGATTGGTCAAGCTTTCTACTTGGTCTGGTTTTCGCTCGTGGAAATTGCCAGCTTGACCGACTCCACGAATGTGAAAGACGGGGAAGATATGCTGCTGCTTCTCATGGCGATTTTCCCGGCTTTGTCACTCTTCGTCGTTACACCACTCACAATGCCAAGCCTTGTGTTGGTCATGAGCCTCACGGGCATTTTTGTCGAGCTCAATACGATTGTTGGCGATGAGGAAGGGAAACATCGCCACGTGACCGAGGAAGAGATAAAGACGCACACCAGGTTCATCCGCCGTACTTATTTGAGGAGTCACTACACTGATGACGGGAATCTCCAGCAGCCAAGCGGAACACCAACGTACGGTCCTGTCAGTCCAGCTTACTGGCAGGAGCCAGCAGTGGAAGATCGAGCCTCCGTGGCCTCTTCGACCAACGTATTTCTTCGCGTCTACGACTCGCCAGCACCTTCCATCGGTTCCGTACTCGGGGAAGATCGTGGGTCGGTTTACTATCCCAGTAATGACAACTCTGTGGGTGGCAACACTGACTTCGATCGTCCGAGATACTATAGCCAATCCAATGCTAGCTTCGACAACAGACGTAGTGACGACCACGGGCACAATCCGAGGCGGACATTCAACCTGAGAGAGTTCCAATCGCTGGAAAATGACGCTATGGCCGCACCCGAAAGGGCGAACAACCGTACTCGCTACCCTTACAGATCCGCGTCTTCGTTCACGAGTAACACGAGCAGCTCAAGTAAAACCCCTCGGCCAACCAGAAAGGAGGTGCGTGCACCAAGCTGGAAGAAGAGCTGGAGTCAGGCTGACGTTGATCCTCCGGGCATGCGAGCCGGCAGCAACGCGGATGCTGAGAGTGACAGGGAGGGTGATTTGGAGCATGACCGGACCTCTGGTGCAGGGTCCTACATGGCTCACTGTTCCAAATACGGCGGCTACGCAGACGTGTGATCGGACGTATCTCATTCCATGACTACTTCGTACGCATCGAAGTGCATGTCGTGCTACAAAAAATCAAACCTAGATAAGAAGCAGTAGGGGAGAGGAAGGAATGGTAGAGACGAACAACTCACATAATTGGCGCCTTCAATTGCAGCACCCTTTTGAGTGGCGCCGCAGCCCACGTGAACCATCCATCACAACATGTGGTGAGTAAGGAAAGTCAATGTTTTTTATCCCTTGTTGATCCAGAACCGATAGCAAAAACCGTACCATTCGCCCACCGAACTCAACCCGCGAGCTAGTTGAAACACTTTTGACCGCGCTGGAAGCCCTTCAATCTCATCGTGGTAGATGACTTGCTCCAGACACCGCGTCGCAGTGGTCTCACGTCACGTCACTCTGCTCCCGCCAGCACAAGCAGATGCTCCTAGTAGTTTGTAAGCGTACTTCGGTCGGCGTGCACGCTTCTCTTCCTATAACAACATCAAATACCGTACCTCGGTATAAGTTTATCATAACTTCGTGCGTCAACAGCTTCCAACACGTACCATGGATACATTCTCGTCCGCATACACTAGCCCAAGATCGTGTTTTACTGCTTTTTGCGCTGCCCCATCAAAAATGTTTGTACTACCGATTGTCACAGCCAAAGGAGCTGCGCCAGGACCAAGTCCAGGTCCCAGCCTTCCTTGATTAGCATATCCAAGAGCAGCTTGAGAAGGAGGAACCATCGAGCCGGGTGGCACGAGTCCTCTAGCCCATTGCGGTGGTATACCACCACCATACACAGGAAAGCCTGGTGCATGAGAAGGCGGCAGAACTCCACCAGGAATAAAAGCTCGAGGGGGAGGAGGCCGCATGGACATCCCTGCACCAGGAGGCGTCATTCCTACCGGAAACTGCATCGGTAGAGGTCCTCGACCGCCACTAAAGACCGGCGGTGGCACCCCTCGACCAGGATATCGCCCAATCAGTGTCCCACCAGGTCCCTCCAGCCTCGGTTTCTTCGATTCCCCTTCAGTTGCGTCTGTCTCACATGGCCCAACAAGCAACATATTGTATGAACATCAAGATAAATAATCATGAATAGTTTAATACATAAATAAACAGGTAAAAAAATCCTCGACCCGGGTCCATATAAATACAACAACCAAAAGCACCTAACCACTCATGTACCCACCTGGTATGCCTTCCATGCCATAGACTTCCACGTCGACGCTTTCTTTGCCCGGCTTTGCGTTCGGAATGCTCTTGAGACTCTCTTTGTGCACTTGCTGGATGTGAATGCTCATGCCACTAATGGTACTGAGTTTCTTGTAGCATGTGGGACACTTGAAATGCCGCGCTTTCTGATGTAGAATCAGCACCTTCTCGTCGTCAAAGTTGCGCTCGCAGTAGTAGCAGTAGATGCGTCGCTGGGGAGCGTCACCACCCGCGCTGTCCTCGCGTCGTTTCTTCTTGCCCATGCGAATGGCCGGGGGTTGATGTGTTTTTTTTTGTATCGAGAGGAGCTAAAAAGAAATGTTGCACGATTGGCTGCTGATCGCAATGGCAATTTTGGGGCAAGTCGCAACAACCTTCGGTCCACCTTCGACCACGCGCGACACGTCCAGCACTTGACTCGATCGTACTATGGTGAGCGTGCTCTTTGTGTGTCTCGGCAACATCTGCCGCAGCCCCGCGGCAGAGGCTGTGTTTAAGAGCATTGTGGCGCGAAGCGAGAGCGCAGGTGTACCTTCGTTCCACATCGACTCGTGCGGCACGGGCGGCGGCGACCCCGATTGGTACCAAGAAGGTGGTACGTCGTACCACGAGGGCGATAGGGCGGACTCGCGGATGATCAAAGAGGCCCAAAAACGGGGCTACACTATGACGTCGCGCTCGCGACCGCTCACGAAAGAGGACGTTGAGGACGTGGACCACATCATCTGCATGGACAAGCGCAACAAGACGGCGGTGCTGGAGGCGGCAGACGCCTGGGGCGGCGCCTCGTGTCGCCGTCTCGCAGCTTCCAAGATCTCGATGATGACGAGCTACTGCACGACGTTTCAGAATGTCGCAGGTGTTCCCGATCCGTGGTACACTGGTGGCTTTGACCATGTGTTGGATCTGCTGGAAGACGCGTGTGAGGGACTATACGGTGCCATTGCGACGGATCAGGAGACGTGAGAGAAATGGTGCAGGAGGTGGAGGAGAGAGACGAGATGGAGGACGAGCAAGGGTTATATGTGAAGAGATAAAGAGGGTGCACGAGCAGTTTTGTCGGAGGTTTCTTGGGTGATAGGCGGGGGTTGTGTGTGTATGGTGAGGGTATGTTGATTTCAGACGAAGAAGGGGGTTTCGAGGTGTTTGGTGCAGAGGGAGCACGAAGGGGTCAAGGGTGGAGGGAGTACTAGTTATAGACGGTGTTTTGTTTGGGGGTGGGACGGCACCTAGAAGTGTGTAGCGGCTGTGGTAAGCTACTCGACGTCGTGTTCTTACTCAACGTCCTGATTCGTGTTGACGTGTGCAGCTTCAGGTCCAGTGTCGTTTCTGTTGATTGATGCGATACCGACGGTCTGCAATCCTGTTATGGCCATTCGATCGTCAGTCTGCTACGCTTTCTTTTGTTGACGGACGTTGGCGGACGACTGTTTGTCGTGTGTTTTGTGGTGATGGCAACCTGCGGAGAGGAATATGGCACCTGCGCTGTTTTCGGGAAAAGGTGTCAATCAGCAGAGGGGCCGAATGACATTTCGGAAGGGATTAAACTTGAACAACATGCTGGAGAAATGATAAAAGCACTGCAATTCGTGCATCAATTGATGACAGACTTCCGCAACGGCTGGAATTAGGGGGCATCACAGGCACATGAGGGCAACACTGATGCTGTTGGTTGAAATGCTGAGAGGCACTCTTTTCTAGTGCCACATTTTGCAAGTGCACGCTTACCGTGTGAAGTACGCACGATGGCCATTATCTATCCTAATTACACCCTTTCGATACTAGCAGTACCGTGGAAAGTAAGCAACACACACGACAAGACACGACAATGGAAAAAGCACGTATATAGTCTAGTTACGCGTCTGCCGCTTCATTTCTTCGTGGATGGCAGAGCCACGTAATCGTTTACGGAAGTAGCAGCAACCTTGCGGTCCGACGTTTTCTTCGCACTCTGTAAAAACAAGAGTGACCAACATTAGCAAAGAACATTCCTGCAGATTTGTAAATGCAGACTTTGCCCACCTTTTGACTGAGAAATTTCTGCTTGAGAGCTTGGACAGATGTCGCACGTTTGTTCTTCTCGTGGGCTTCAGCCTTTTGCTTTTTCCGCGTTTTCGTAGCTTCCTTCTCACTAGGCGCAACATACTCGGCCATTTTGTCGGCCTTGCGTTTCTGCAGCACCTGGAGGTTCTCCTCGTGTTTTTTCTGCTTCTTGATCGCCTTGCGTTCGTGCTCTTTCATAAAGTACTCACCACTCTCAATCTCCTTGTCCACCTTACTGGCCGCAGGCGCCGGCGGGAAGGGCGTGTATTCTCGCTTTTCACGCACCTTTCTCGGCTTCTTCGTCTGCACATTCTGCTTTTTAAATGAGGGCAAGAAACGTTCCCAGTTTTCATCTTTGAGCATCGGATCCTTCGACAGCTCCCGCTTGATCATGAGCTGCTTGACATTATAAATCGGATGCACATTTGCAAAGCAGTCCTCAACAATCTTGCGCACATTGCGCAGACCTTGGTAGCTGCCCATTGCCGACACTGTGTTGCCCTGCACGAGCACGTAGCATTCCGTGAGCAGTTCAATAGCCTTGAGCGTTGCCCCGTCAGGGCCTACGAGACGTTGGCGACGCTTTACAAAGCGTTCCTTGTTGCGAACGAGGCCACCAATCTTGATGATATCACACTGCACATCGTCATTCAGTATTTTCACTGCTTGATTAACAGGAATACTGCGTGCCAGCAGCTTGATCAAGTCCCGTGCCTTGAGCACAATGTACGGGTCCGTTGTCTTGCGCGTAGTGCGCACGGTCATGCTACCTTCCACCAGATTCAGCTCGCACGAGATCTTGTGAGCATCCAATGATTTGGTCACAATTGGCCATACTTCACGCAAGTACTTCTCGCGGTACTTGGGGAACAAGGTGGCAAAAGAGCTCTCCTCCAATAGACCTGGCATCTTGACCTTCTTCTCGGCATTCTTCTCGTCCTGCACTTCGTCTTGCCATGGGCTGATCGTCCAGTGGTCAATGTCTTCGCTGTCCCACGGCTTATCCTTGCGGTGCTTCCTCTTCTCGTCGCGGGCATCTGCCTCGACGTGGTTGCGCGGTTTGTCCCCGTCGAACTGCTCCATCATTGTCCAGGAGGTCTACACTGCGACAGCCAGCCAAATGAAGAAGAAACCGGTATGTGGCGGTACGTACCAGTAACGAGATGAAGTCTCGTGAGCTGATTTTGTGTCATGCTACGAATATTTAGTCGACATAAAAAAGAAGTTGTTGTGAGTGAGCGACTTTTGATGTGTAAACATATTCTGCTATGACAAGGATGAGTTTTACACTGTGGGGCGAGTTATACTTCCGGGAATGTAGGACTGACTCATGCGATTGGAGCAGCTTAGTTCAAACCAGAAGGGGCAGATTTTCCTGCACAGTACGTAAAGCACAAGCCGCCTTGTTAGGAAGTCCAAATAAGAGACCAATTGATCGCATCGCTGAGTCATTGTCCTGTGCAGCAATCTTATCGACGTGATGATGTCGAGCGCCGTCGCAATCATGCATCCCTGCACAACTGTATTTAACGCACATCTTTACAGATCCTTACTATCAATACAGCGTCTTTAAGCGGTGAGACTAGACGATTCTAACAACAAAAAGGACAGAGCCAGTTGCGCTATTTCGATCTATCCGCCAGTCAGTCATGTCTACTTTTTCCTGGAATGACCTTGTCTGCGAGGCTTTGCCACTGGGTGCAGTATCGCAAACATTTTTGCAATTATCAAATGTCGAGTCGCTGTGTCCGTACCGCTCTAATGTGGACGCGTCAGACGATCTAGAAACACTCCACCTGGTCTAGATCGCGCTCAACAATTCGTGTCTCACGAAACCTGCCAGATGCGAACCACTTCTTTTACCTTGTATTTGGGCAAAGCTACTCCGTACTTTATATTTTGCTATTCCGTACCGCAAACGCCGTCAAACGTTTTTACGGACAGCTAATTAGCTTAAAGTTAATTTATCTATGTTTTGCTAAATATGGATGTTTAGAGGTTCGGAGTTTGTACAGCTGCCTTAAACAGGATTTAGTGCCGAGCCTAAGCTAGAGGCTGTGATGACAACTGTAGAGGGTGCCGAGGAAATGGGAGATGTACCGGAGCACCCTTTGTGTGGGGTGCCACGAAACTACATGTACATTCGTACGTGCAGAGGAAGCTATTCTACTCAAACAGCTAGTTCGAGTAAAGGGTAAAAAGAGAACTGTATTTAATATAGTTAAGCTACCACTATAACTTCAGTTTATATTTGCGATATTAATCTACATTGTCGTATGACGGCAACCCGCTCACCACCCATTGCGCGCGTCTAGCAGCGACTAAGGGTAACCTTGATTGACATGTCTTTATCAACCAATCTTTGGGCAGCGCATGGATATTATTTTAAGTGGATAATATCCCTTCAATGTTACCTATCTCGGGTAATACTGGAAGGGAATTGTCACGCTAGAAAATCTCCCTGTTGACACCATTTGGTGTCAATATCATGTAACGGGCTACCCCGATACACGGCACCTGTCGCAGAAAATTTTAATATGACCGAGAAGATTATCCTCCTTCGTGATGCCTGCTCCCTGCTCGACGTTACCCAGGAACGTCGCCAAGCTGCTTACAAAACATTTCGCAAAATTCAGCTTGATCTTTGCAACCTCCAGCTTGATCTTCGCAGCCTCCAGATTGATCTTCGCAACACCTTCATCACATAAACCATTCCGGACATGTGTATCAAGTCATTGTTCTCTTTTATAAGACGAAAACAAGTGGTCGTTTCTTAAGCTTTTTCGGCTTACCTGATCATAATATAAAACTTTTAACGTAGCGGCCATAGAACGAGGTCCGTGGACGCGGAAATCAATAACCTACTAGAAACCATAACTAAACGGGGGGAAACTTTTCGAAGGAAAGACTGTGCCTCTTTCTACTTCAACAGCACCTCATTCCGCACTTGCAACATGCAGATCCCGTATTCGCTCCTAAAATTAAATGCATTCAAAAAAATTTACGTGCGAACTGATTCCGCTTTTGTCCTTAAAAAGTATCAGGCCAACAGAGCCGCTCAGCAGATTACTCCAGACCTTATCCGACGGTCATCAACAACTACCGACCAGTGAGTTTTCGGAAGTGCAATTGGTGGCGCACAAATGGGGCGACACATATGGTCGAGCTTTGCGCAGCTTTGCAACGAAGTCGCGCAATGGGACGACCAATCTCTCCTTGCTGACACGACGGTAGTGGAAGGCCAATTGATGCATCACCGTCGCATTAGCCGTAAATGTTCCTTCTATGACTTGGCATCAATGACACTGGGAACGGATGGTCAGCGCGAGCGACTTGAGGTGATTCTTAAGCTCATTGACTACAACTTGTCCTTGGACGAGGTGGACGCTATTCGATACCGGGTTAAACTGGGAGACATTGTTCGCGTCCGAGGGTTCATTGAGCGACTCAAAGACAAGCCGTCGATTTTAGTCCATGCGCGCGATATCACTGTCGTTCGTGCGTGGAAAGAGGCGAATCCGGGAGTGACGTTTCTTCCGCTGCCATCGGTGGTCATTGGTTCGAGTAAACAGCAGTCTATTGATCGAGAAAAGAATGAATGCAATGCTGGTAGCGAGGCGGTCTCAAATTGTGGAGAGCATATCACGATCGGAAGTGCAAAGAAAAGGGTGCACTGCAAGTTCTGGATCAACTCGAACACATGTCACATTGGCGACAAGTGTGAGTTTTTTCATGTCAGAAATGCTGAACGAAAGGAAGAGCGTGCCAAGTGGCTAGTCGACCGTCTGCACCTCAAACACGTGCGAGCTCAGATCGATCAAGACCCTTTCGATCCCCACGGGAAAATCGGAAAACAGCAGCGTGCGCAAGTCTTTGTTGAGTGGCTCGTTGGGACGTTTGGTGCACCGTTTCTCGCTAGAGGAAAAGGTGTTGTCGATATTGCGGGTGGAAGAGGCAATGTGTCTTTCGAGCTATGGAATAAGCGGAGACTGCCTTGTACACTGATCGAACCAGTAAGTGCGTGTCCTTGCTTGTGTATTTTTTCTGAATAGGACTTACATGAAAGTGGTCAATGTTCAGCGTCCGATGAAACTGTCGAAGCAACAGCATAAATACTTGAAGAAGCAGAAGAAGTCACGATCGCAGATTGGCGAATCCCAGACGCTTCTCACCGAATCTCTTGTTCCGCAAGTGACGGCCCTTTTCAACATGGACACGTTTCTGACGAAACCAGAGCACGTTGAGCTGATTAATCAAGCGTCGCTTCTTCTTGGTGTGCACCCCGACGAGGCCACCGAATCGATCATTGATGTTGCCGTCCAATTCAACAAGCCCTTTGCGGTAGTTCCCTGCTGTGTGTTCGGCCAAAAGTTTCCCGATCGCCGACTCAAAGATGGAAGCAAGGTGCTGTCGTTCGACGACTTGATCGAGTACCTCGTTGCAAAACATCCGAAGATTGAAAAAACATTCTTGCCTTTCGATGGAAAAAACTTGGTGCTATACCTGCGACCACCGGTAGCACGGTAACTGCACTTGTGTGTCAAGTTTGTAAGTAACAAGGAGCTAGGTTGTGTCTTTCATTTTTTGCACGACAGTTGCATGCTAACACTGATCAGCCGCACTATCCAGCGACTACCGCTGACCCGTGAGGTCGATCGGGAATGTGCGTATCCGGTCTCGAAACGCGATAGCTCCACGTAGTTGCAAACTACTCACGTCGCCACTAGCTAGTAGTGTCACGTCGACGGGGAAATCCAAGCCGGCACTCAGAGCACTAGAGAACGATGCTGCATCCCACGTTTTTACACACTCTTGACCACGGAAGAGAGCAACTCCGCCATCCGAACCCAAACAGAGCCATGCTATATCAGACACTTTCACTTTGGAGGAGGTCTGCAACGACAATAGCTTTACAACGGAAACGGATGTCTTGACCCACACTTCCATCGCAAATCGAAAGTCAGGCATCTCCTTCGACACTACATCTCGATTGCTTACAAGCCGATAGATTATTCTGCAACACGATCGTCACATGTCATCTCAATTCGATCATGTCAGTATCAAAGCGAGCAAAAATGCTGCGTACCCTTCCTCGCCAGCAGCCAATACAATGTCTTCGTCTACACCCTCGAAAACAGCCAGCGTTTTCATTGGCGTACGGGTCGGAATCACAGCAAACGTTTTACCACAACACGTCGCCACTACATGCTTTTGGCCACTTGCCACCAAAACGTAGTTTGATAGCGTGTGTTCCACGTCCAGCAGCCTGACTCGCGCGATCGCATGCACTATGGGCTGCGTCGCAGCTGGGTAGAAAAACTCTGCACCAGCGTCGTCTCCAGCATTCGCATTAGCTGAGAGCCGTCGCTATCAACAGCAGCACAAGCGCAAAAGCAGTTTTCAGTAACCAAAAGAACCATCACCCTCCATTGACCACTTGCTCCGTCCGCATTGCACACACCTTCCATAGAATCTCGTACTGCGTTACACAGTACAAGTTGCCTAGCGCATCGCCCACAATGAACGCGCCACTTCCAGTATAACAAATGTCATGCACGCCGCCTTCCAACTGAAAACGTCGAACTTCCTACTCACATCAAAAGCCCTCAAAAGTCAGCAACCTGCTCGTCCCTAATCAAGTTGCTGATGCCCCAACACATTTCAAATCTGTCCAAATCTTTCCATCTGTCGAACCCACCAACGCTTCGCGCAATACCACGAGCTCTCCACCAGCACTACCGACCAGCAGCGTGTGTGTATACTTCACATCCGCGTCCACGCCACACACATTCTACACAAAACTTACAACCACATCAACAATATTCGCTTCCCGGTCTAGCTTAACAACATGATGATTCATAGGTTTTTTTAGACCAATCACGAACCGTGATGGCGTGTATACACAAACGCAAGGACCAGTATACGCGCGAGAGCGACAGCCCGACTTCGTCATGATGGCGTGGATCCTGCAGCGAAGGTGCGGCAATTGCCCATACGCTTCCGTCTGCAGTTCCTACATAAACGCGGTCGCTGGCAAGGCGTGTACTTCGCGCGCACGTGAGCTCAAGGCCTACGTAGGTGGCTGTGCTCGTGTTTTCCATTCGCAGCTATACGCGAGTCATTCAGCGAGACCAATTGGTCTTTTTCAAGCAGAAAAGGCTGTAATACGATAAAACAATATTATTATGTACTGAAGGTAGACGAGATACAAAGCTACCGGAACACACAGGGTCAGACTATTCAGTCTTGCTGAAAATCATGTTCTGAAGGTCGTAAAGTTCTTGGAAAGTTCGGTGCGACGTCCTGAATCATCTTTTCAGTGCCATGTGTTTTGCGGGCGAGGGAGTCGTCAGTAGCGCAGTGTACATGGCTACATCTTTTTCCGACAAGAATCAAGGCCTCGTCTAAAACTGCATCGTGTTTTTGTGAGGATGTCTCCGTGCACGTGGATTAAATAATAAAGTTACGTCCATGACTGAGCATTGCAAAGACCTAAGGCGACTGTCGGTGTGCCATGTCGTCGTGGCCTCTCAACCAAAAGCGCAGCGAGAACTTCTTCTTGCTCTTGGCCACTCCATTCGCACTCATTGAGAGTCCACACATTTTACCGGTTGGGCGTCGGGCGTTCCAAGACTCGGCATGGGGCGACAGCGGCCAATTCTCTCTCCGTGAAGGCGTTGCTGGCAAACTTGGTGACCCGTTGCTACAAGTCCAAGACGCCGGTGCACGCGATACCTCAAGCACCTGCTGCAAGTCTTCGCTTCCAAACGCCGCGCGGATCTGAGGGAACCGCACGAGAAAGTTGGCCACGTACGGTTGGAAGGTCCGGATAAAGGCGTTGCTGTCGTCGACCGTCGGGTCGCTGTCACCTATCGGCGTTCCACTAAGAGTGTGCTGCAAGACCTTGGCAATCTGCACGCCCACGGGCAGCGTCCGGGTCGTATGAGGAGGAAAGTCAAACATCTCGGGCTTCACGAGGGCGGGACAGAGGATCCGCAAAAACAGCAGACTCCCCACGACAATGCGAGCGTCATGTTTGCACTCGGGAAACGCTTTGCGAAACTCCGTGAGCATGTAGTGACAGCCGGCACGCAGGACGAGCGGCGCAAAGTGAATCGCCTTGGCCAAGCGCTGAATGACGCTCTTGGCGTACTCAGCCACCTGTTTGCTCGAAGGCGGTCCGTGCATCTCGTACAACTGCGACTTGTCACCAAACACGTTGCGCAGTACGTAGCGAAAGTACGCGCGGCCTTGAGTGCGTCCAAGTTTCTTCACGAGTGACGTGAGCTCGGACGTCGAGCGTAGAAAGAGCTCTTCGCGTCCACAAATGTCCTTGAGCTCAGCCTTCACAGCGCGCTCCAGTTCACGCAGACGTGGCACCTCGTTGTGCGAACGCTTTCGGTGGATGCACCACTTGCCCATGTCGTGTCGAGGTTCGTTGGTTTGCTTCCTGTGTCGAAGTGCCTCGTGACGCAGTAAGCTCGTTCCCAATGACTTGCGGGCACTGAGTGGCGTTTTTTTCAGTGCTGGAGATGAGACGTTGCGAGCGTCGATATCTTTTTTGAGTGGTGGACTTCGAGTGCAGACAACCAGCGGATAACGAGGTTTTCGTGCTTGGCGCTCGGACAGAAGTTTATCGTCGAAGAGGAACGCGCGCGGCAGGGTGCGGCCACAGTCCGGAAGCCCTTCCTTCTCCGATTGTGTCGCTCGATCTGTGCGGGAACAGCTTGATGCCCGTTTTTTCCGCAAAAAGCGACCTGCAGACGAGACAAGTGAGGAATTCAGTTCCCAGGCTGATGAAGATGAATCGAATGTGTTGTGACAGGTAGTGGATGTTAACAAGGTTTATATATCGAGAAGGTATTGGGACCGAATTGATGGATTAGATGATTTATCGTTATAAGAGGGATAGAGGGATGAGTGCTAGCGTTGAGCGGCTGGAAATCGCGCAAGTTCTGCGCAAGAGAGCGACAACGTCGCTTTACTGACGCTGGGACTTTACTGGAGTCTTTGTTAGGACTTTAGTCAAGTATCATAGTGTCAAATACGTTGCAATGCCCCCATCCTGTGCTATGATAGTGGCACTTGTAGCCTGCACCACTTGCGTTACTTCAGTAAACGTTCGCAGATGTAATGACGTCAAGTTACAAATTCTATTGCGACAGCTCGTAGCGTCAACATGATAAGAATGAGTCGAAAAAGACATGATTGAAAGCTTGTGTTGGCATGCCAGTAGCTTCGCTGAGCCTGCTTGGTGCCTGCGAGCAAATTTTGTGGGACGCAAAGCAAGGTCGTGGATGCTAAAGATCAGCAGATCATTTCGGTCGTTCGGAGGCCAAAATAGGGATAACTCTAAATACGCCTACCTTTATTGCTAAATACGCCTACCTTTAGAACAAAGTTGACCCTCTCCATGTTTTCGTAAAGCACCCACCACCCCTATATATTACCGTAATTTACTCGATTTATGCCTTCTGACTAGTAGGATTGCGAATACTACCGGTCTCAGAAGTAATTTACAATCTCATTTACAAATGATAAAATACTAAATCTGAACATTCTATGCATGTCGTTAAGTCGACGACTTGTGAGCGATTCTGGAACAAATTGGGCTTGTAGCGAGTATCCTGCATGGGCACTGTGGCAAAGGCATCCAACAATACGATATTTAAAATTGACTTCAAGCCAGCCGCAGAGGTCTATCAAGAGGTAAGTCGAATCGTCGTAATGCCTATTCAATTGACCTACCAGACTAACGCGTAATTTGATGATGGTAGTGGCTCGATGTGGCGTTGGAGAAGAGCCAGACTGAGCTTTCATCGACAGATTTTCCTCGACTAGGCAGTCTGCATCCGCTGAGCATTACAATCGACTTCGTTTCGAATCAAATGGAGATCGACCGCAGTATTGACGCTCAATCCTCCTCGTCATGGTGATCAGTGCAGTCAATTTACTGATCCAAGCTGGTCAACATGATAGCAGTGATTACCGGCATTAACGAGGATGGCTCATTGAGCGCTACCAGCTTCGTCGCTTGCGGCACGAACGCGTTTGTTATGTAAAATTCTGCTCAATCATTGACGACCGCCATCAACAAGGTGCTTGTCGAGTACTTTTCCACTCACGGACATAGTGATAACTCTAACTCGTGTTCGTGGTCTTTCGATTCAGTCGGGGGTAATGATAAAACTCACATTGATGGTCTTGTTGATTCAGATGGGGGTAGGCCGTGGAAAGCAATAAAATTTACACCCATGAGACGATCGGCTGCCTCATGTTCGTGTCATCGAAAGAGCAGGCACTGTTGGGCCACAAGAGCATGGCTAAGATGGTACATTGCGATTGATTTAGTGGCTCGTTTCTCTTTTTTCTGTGCGACTTCTTTCCAGATCTTCTTCTAGCCCTTTATGCGCTTGATCATTCTCGTTGCTGGAACTTCGTCAGCAGCAACTTTCTTGCATCTATTCCCGTGTGAACAACATAGAATAATACGTTTATTTGAGCCATCTTTCTTGTTACTTACCCTCTTAGTACATTTGATCGTTAGGATATAGCCTTGAGGTCCTGCTTTTTTAAGTTCCTTACAGGCTTGCTCCACTGTATCGTATGTAGTTTCAGGAGGTGGAAGCAGAGCTATTTAAGAATGACTGACTATGTTGTTTAAGCGCTGAATTTAATTCTTCGACCGGTGAAAAAGTAGCGTGTAAGCGAAAGATAAAGAATGCAATTATTGTGTAAGATTGGCTGTCAGTATTTAGCAATATGGTGCTTTTTACTACCAATCAAAACATGGTAAGTATAAATTACAATAATGTATAGGGGTGGGGGTGGACGAAAACCTGGGAGTGGTAAGCGTTTCCCTACCTTTTTTGCTAAATACACATCCATTATTCGTAGACTATCCATCTGACTGGATTATCATTTGTTGACAATTGCTAAGAGATGATGCACTTATGAACAAGAGAAAATCCACTACTTAACGAAATAATGTCCAATAGTTAACCTCAGTCTGACATCTCATTCCGTCTTCGTAACTTTATCGTCTACGTAACGATGAGCCATCATATCTTCACCTCTGATGGTGCAGCTCACGATGTTTGATTGGGCTCATAACCTGTTAGATGTTGGTAGCTCTTGCACTTGTGCAAAGGATGTAGGAAGTAAAAGTGAAATATATTGGGTGTTAACTATTCTCCCTAGTCAACCCTATATGTATGTATTTGCACCAGCACTGCAACTTGACCTGGTCAAGTTGTACTTTGGCATACGTCCAGCGTGCCCATCCCATGTGCTGGTCCTGGTCCCATATGACGTCTGTATGTCTCTGTCTCTCCTACCATCTGTCTTTGATAGTCCGACATGACGATCGTCTTCTCGCGTCCCATATGTCAACCTGTCTCGTCCCACCGTCAACTTGTCGACCAATCAGGTGAGGTCGACCTAAACCTGTAACAGGTCTTGCAGTTGCCTCTACACCGACGTAACCTGTTAAAAGCTATATCTTCTAACACTCCTCCTCGACTTCAGCCTGAATCGTCCTCAAGTTGAACATCTTGCGTAGCTCCTCCATTCTCGGCGCTGGCAAGGACTTCGTCAGAACGTCCGCCATCATGCTCTCAGTCTTGACGTACTTGGGCACCACAATTCCTTCACGCGCGTAGTGGCAGATGAATTTAAACCTGATGTCCACGTGCTTCGCGCTCGTTGTGCTCTTCTCTGCCTCAAGTTGCTTGATCGCCGCTTGATTATCCATCCACATAGGCATCGGCATGCATACCTGCAGCTTTAGCTCCAGCAGTAGTTCCCTCACACCCAGCAGTTCGCGTCCTGCCTGGGATGAGGATATGAACCCCGCCTCCATAGTGCTCAGCGACACACCTGACTGCTTCTTGCACGACCATCAAACAACAGAACCGTCCAAAGTTAGTACGTATCCAGACACTGACTTACGGTCCGCCTTGTCCGCGGCGAAGTCTGCATCGCTCCAGCACTCAATCTTGACATTTTGTTGAGTCGGTCCGTTGCCGTTCAGGTGCAACCTCAAGTTCTTTGTCGCCTTCAAGTATCTTGCAATGCGTTTCGCAATCTTCCAGTCCTTGGTGGTTGGCTTGTGTGTTTGACGAGTTGCCTTATGCACTGCAAAACATATGTCGGGCCGCGTGCATCTTGCGATCCATAGCAGACTCCCGACCAAGGATCGAAAGGCACTCAAACTTGGCTCACTGCTTGCACCTCTCGCGGGTAGACAGTCCACATCATCCTTGTTATCATCATTGCATTCATCTCGGATTGGCGTTCGCACACCGTTCGCTGACTCCAACTTGAAATCCCTGAGCAACACGTCGATCATGACCTCTTGGTCCAGAATGTATCCTTGAGTGTCATCCAAAGAGATCCTGAGTCCCAGAAACTTTTGAACGACGCCGAGATCCTTGATCGATAGTGTCTCCATGCCCGCAAAGAACTCATCAACCGCGCACTGCTTGGTTCCCGTGACCAGAAGATCGTCCACGTATACTCCGACGATGGTCCATTCTTGACCTTGGTGCTTGTAGTATAGACATATGTCCGTCGTGCACTGCTTGTAGCCATTCTCGGTCAGCTTGGAGTGTAAGAGTTTGCTCCAGAGTCGTCCCGCTTGCTTTAGTCGGTACAACGATTTCTTCAACAGCAGCGCGACCTCACCAGGAGATTCCATACCGAAACCTTGAAGTTCCTCCTTAATGATTTGCATGCCTTTTGGAACCTTCATGAAGATATCCAGATGCTCCTCCTTTTCTGCCTTAACGTAGGCGTTCGGAATATCCCCATGACGTGCGGGAACGTTCCATCGCTTGGAGAGCACCAGGATTAGCTTGACGGTCACTAAGTCCATGACGGCCGCAAACGTGAGGCTGTAGTCGATGCCGAAGACTTGTTCGTTTCCGCAAACCACTATTCGAGCCTTGTATCGCTCGATATCTCCGTTCGCGTCGGTCTTTGTAGACCTACTTGTTGTGCAACACGTGTGCATTTCTTTGTGGCACTACGATCTTCCAAACGTCGTTCGCCTCGAGTGCGTCCAATTCTTCGGTCATGGCTACCTGCCATTGGTCGCGTTGTCCACTCTTCATTGCCTCACCATAGTGCTTCGGGTCTTGCTCGACGATCGCGTTCACGATGTCGCAACCGTCCACCGAGGTGTCCACTTCAACCATCTTTGGTTGACTTGACGTTGTCGATCTTGTCCCATGTCGCTCTCTGGTCCATGTCAACTTTCGACCTTTTCTGACCTGCTTCGCACGTTTCACACCATCTTGCCGATCTTCTTCATCCGCCTGATGATCAGGGCCTGGCTCGTCCTGACGTCGTGCCGTGTCTGGACAGGTATTTCTCTCATCATGGTCATCCTGTGGTGCTTCAATGTTTTGAACATGTTGAGTCACCACGACCACCTTATCCACTGGGATATACACCTTGTATCCCTTCGTTTTGCTGCCTCGCCCAATGACGATGCCCGCCTTTCCTCGTTCACCGAGTGACTTGTTCTTCGGGTCTCTGTGCGCAGTGCATGTTGAACCAAAGGCCACAATGTCTGTCAGCACGGGAGCCTTGCCTGTCAGGATCTCCAAGGGCGATGCACATCCGGGGTTGGACTTGGTTTTGCTTCGATTCAGTATGCACGAGGCGTACTCTGCAGCATCACCCCAAAATGAGAGCGGCAGGTTTGATGCAAAGATCATACTACGCACCATGTTCATGACGGTGCGGTGCATCCGTTCAGCCTTGCCGTTGCTTGCTTGGTTTTTCGCCTCGCTTACTTGACGCAAGACGCCTTCCGAAGAGCAGAAAATATCGAGTGTCTTGTATTCGCCACCTCCATCGGTGCGTAAGACATGAACCTTGCAATTGAACTCGCGCTCGAAGTTTGCCATGAAGAGCTTGAACTTTGACGCGGCTGCGTCCTTCGACTTGGCCAAAAATATTCGACAGTAACTCGAATGGTGGTCGATGAAGTTGACCATGTACCTATTTCCCAAACGATCTCGAAGGGTGATGGGACCCTTAAGGTTCGAACACATGACTCCCCCGATCGCGTCGATTGGCGAATTCGCGCCTGTATCTCTCTTCGACTGGGCTCCCTTCGTCTGTTTTCCCTGGGCACAGGCCAGACACTTTTGACGTGTCGAATCAGTCAGTCGGATGCATGATGCCGGATCGTTCGCCACCTTGACGATCGTGTCGAAACAAAGGTGTCCCAAACGTCGATGAAAGTCCATCAAGGTACCGCATAGAACATCTGAATCGAATTCATATTCAGGTGGGTTGACGACAGTCATCAGTGCCTCTTGTGGTGGCTTGGAATTACGATCACTGTGATTTGTCACCGCGACAACCAACACGTTGTTGCAGCATTCCACATCCATGATGGGTGTACCGCCCGTACCGGAAGACTACACGCGCCTCCCTCCTCGATATTCAAGTACGCAACCTTTTGCCTCGAGCAAACCGTAGGAAAGGATGTTACGCTCGAGGTTCTCCGCATACTGAACATTGAGGAGCCTCACTGTGTTCACGACTTCAAGTGCAACGACTTGGATGTCTACAGTTCCTTGTAGGGTGATCCGCAGCGCACTCCCATCAGTGGCTGCAGTCATGCACTCACTGCGATAATCAATCGGATCAGTCAGCAGACTCGGGTCATTGACCAAATGTCTACTCGAACCGCTGTCGAGAATCCATTGTCCGGGCGAGCGACTCGCACCGCGACCAACCGCGAAAACGAAATTCGCACCCGAGGGCTTCTTCTTCATTTTGGGGCACCTCGAACGAATGTGACCCACTTCTCCACATTTGAAACAAGTCCGGGTGTCGGTGCGTGGTAGCGACGGTCTTGATTTGTGTTTGTCCTTGAATTCCTGCGCAACCTCGACAGTGTTCACCACATCGCGTCCAAACTCTTCGAGTGAGTATCCACCTCCGTCGATTGGGCAAATTGCGCCAACTCATCTGCTTGCCGCAGGTAATCGGTGCGATGAATGTCCAATCTGGACAACATCGTCGTTCGCATGTGTGGGTCAGCATAATGGACGATGTTGTCCAGCACAAGGTTGTATGCACCTCCACAGGCGTCACTGACGGCCTTCAAGTACAGAAAATGGTCTGTCCAGTTTCTATGGGATGCCTTGGGTGCTGTGAACAACTTCATGCTTTGTGCTGGCGAGATCTTCGTCGTGAAGGTCTGCAGTAGTCTCTGCATCGCATGTTCCAGGGTTTGGTTTTCAAACCACCACGTTTCCACTTGACGACGATAGTAGATCTGTGCCTTGCCGGCTAGGTGCTGACCTAGAACATCAACCTTGATGTCATCTGGCCACACGAAACCACACGCTCGCTCAGCAAACCCGACTTGTCTGACAAATTCTTTGCCCCACTCCATGAATCTACAGCCAAGGCCGTGGTAGAGCTCCTTTTCGTCGAAAGGTTGCAATGCCAGCTTCCGCTGTTGCGCGTCCGGCATGCCGACTCCCGGCTGCCCAGGGTAAACACACACCCCGATAGGCATACACATACCGGGGTAGCGTCCTTCAGGCAAACCTGCCCGGTATATCCCAGGGACGGGTGCTTGACCCATGTTGACTCCTTCCTCTGCTTTTCTCGCGTGAGGACCTTCAACACCTGCCTGTTGTTGTCGCCGAATACCGAAATAGGTTGCTGGTGACACGTTTGGGGATTCCTTAGGAGGGGTACGGTCCAAAGTCTGGAGATTAATCCCTGCCCCGACCTCCTGTTGCCGACTGGCGATACTCGACTCGGGTGAGCCCTTCCAGTTCTTGCCGCCTTGCTCTCTCTGGGAGACGTCCATCCGGTTCATCCTTTCGGACAGGTCTCCTAGCATGGCTAGCATCTTCTCGATCGCCTCCGCAGGCGCTGCCGACTTTTCTTCCAGGTGATGGTCGTCGACCACCACGGTATGTGCAGCTGGTTCAGCCGCACCACCAACACGTTTGATAGGGCTCATAACCTGTTAGATGTTGGTAGCTCTTGCACTTGTGCAAAGGATGTAGGAAGTAAAAGTGAAATATATTGGGTGTTAACTATTCTCCCTAGTCAACCCTATATGTATGTATTTGCACCAGCACTGCAACTTGACCTGGTCAAGTTGTACTTTGGCATACGTCCAGCGTGCCCATCCCATGTGCTGGTCCTGGTCCCATATGACGTCTGTATGTCTCTGTCTCTCCTACCATCTGTCTTTGATAGTCCGACATGACGATCGTCTTCTCGCGTCCCACATGTCAACCTGTCTCGTCCCACCGTCAACTTGTCGACCAATCAGGTGAGGTCGACCTAAACCTGTAACAGGTCTTGCAGTTGCCTCTACACCGACTTAACCTGTTAAAGCTATATCTTCTAACACCGCATCGGTCTTCGTTGCTATTCTTGATGCTTCTATAAATGTTGCTGCATACACCAACAAAGACTGATACTGCCAATCATTTCGCCCGGCTCCAGTATAAAGTCGTAGAGTTCTGAATACCTCTACCGGTCGGGCTATTTGGAAGTCAAGAGAAAGCTGTCCGTACCGTGAAATAGTACGCTATGCACCAAGGTTTCGCTATCAGCATTAAAATAAACAAGGCCGTGCAGCATCGTGCTCGTTTTTTTGTTGCTTGCAATGAAAAGACTTTCATCATTCAACGGTTGGTTTGTGTCGTTGCTGGACCGCGGAACTAAACTTGTTTGCAGTTTGTGAGCTTGTAGTCATCTTTCACGAGAACTTGCGCAAAATTGAGCTTGGTCGACACTCATAATTAGCTGCCACTGACGACACGTCCGACACATAAACAATACCGGCAGTGCGGCGTGTACCGCTTAAAAGAGACAATACAAGGTCGCATTTATTAGATGCATCAATCTGTAGTCGCTGCACAATGATCTGCGCGTACGTAAAATTGAGGAAATACATTCAAAACGTTCCATACCTACTTTTAATTTAAGGTAACTGAACTACCTACATCGGATGATCATCATTGCAGGGGCAAAGTGATGTCAATAACGACTTCCAATAAGCTATTCCAATGGCTATGTGCGTGAGAACGAATGCAGAGTCTGTTGGCCGGTATCAGCCTTTTGCGCTTGACAAGGTAGAAAAGAAACTGATGTTCAACTGTGTTGCTCTGCCCTAGCTTTTAGGTCGCTATCACTCACACTAGTAATCTGTATCTCCGTGCTTACTTGGTCGACCACACTTCCTGTTGTTCGCCAAATCCACTCCTTCTTCACTCATCCTGATACTTAGTTTCCTTTTCCATGCACATCCAAAAAGTGACAGCCCCGTTTCATCAGGCCTGTCGTGCTTCACATCGCGACTGCTCAGTGACCATCACCCTGATGTTCAACACAGTCTTCACCAGGACCGCAATACTTTATCCTCCATCTGTGACGGTTCAAATTTTCCGACATTCATGATGTCGGCGTGCTCTTGATCTCACTGACGTGCAACCCTTCAAGCTAAAAAATTAAGACAAGGCAAGGTTGTGGATTCTGGAATATGAACAAGGTTAGAGGAACTTCAAATAAACGGGGAATAAAAAAAGCTTTTTGCTCAATTGTGGAGGAAGTGTTTCATGATCGTCAGATTTCAATGACAACATGTCTAAAAGGGGTTCTTGACGTAGATATATTCGAGGCATGCGTGAAGACAAGCGCCTTTAACTGCAGTTGCCGCCAATCTATGTTCACGCAGACAATTGCCTTTAATTATCGCATACCACTTCCCCAGAATGCCGACGCACTTCCGTCCAGAGAAGAGATCTTCGTACGAAATTTCGCTGCATTGCGCTCCACCCCGAATTATCCTTGTCAAGTGGAACATCAAACGACTTAGATGTATCTAAATTCATCTTCCGCGGCCCACCTGTGATCATCCTGGGAAAGATGCATCAGAAGCTGGAAAAGATGGTGTAGAATTGGTGGAGCCCGTCTTTTCTCTTGCTAAATTGTGGCTGTTCTCTTGTTAGCTTGTGGATGTTCTCTCAGAATTTTTCAGCCTATTATGTATCATCGAAATGGATAGCCTATGAATCATGCAGGTATATTTTAACAATAAATGTGCTTTTTTAATAGAGTTACCCTCAGCGTAGCGGTTGCAGCGCAGTAGCAGCATAGAAGGATATCTGCTTTGTTACACCGGCCAGGAAACGCCGGGTTATTTTCACCTTCTCGAACAGCTCGCGTGTTATTCATGTATCAGGTGCAAAATGGTGGATGCTAGTATCAGACTCCCGCACATCACTGAATGGATGATAGTGTCCGCGCGAGTATAATCGCATGGCTACGTGTCCCTTCTGCAGTGAAGTGTAGCTCGCTAAATACCCACGCTGTTCCCCAATTTAACCAGCTGGTGAGCCCTACTAGTGGTCTAAAAAAACTGATAAAATGGCCCGCGCAACTATTCTGGAACGGATATGTACGTAGCGTCTTCCGTCTACGACACAACACTGTTAGAATCTAGTGGAATTTCTGGTAGACAGGATGCGTCTGAAGTAAAGCCGGATGAGGTGAGGACAAATTTACTGAAGCAAAATTCTGGTGAGATGTAAAGTGATAGGATAGCCAGTATTCGGCACTATTGGTGGCGCTCGTCTTTAAGCACGCCACCATCAACATGACAGCATGTAATGTGCTCAAATAGAACGATTATAAACTGTGCACTTACGTCATACAGTGCTACATTCTTTTCCATAATCTTGGAGTAGATACTGCATCGTAGGACGTAGTGCTCCAGCTGAGATCGTTAGTGTATTATTTGAACAGTAGAATGAAACGAGTAGCGTAAAAAATAAGTCGATACAGCGTATACTCACATTTATATAGCATAGCTTCAATTAAACTTAATGCTGAATATGCAAAGAAGATAAATGGCTGACCCTTCACTGATAGAAGGCTGATCGAGTTAAGTGCAGCTTTAATGTCTGTAAAGACTTAAGCAGTGAGGAATAGCATTTACAAGCTTTACACGTAAATACAGGCCGATGATATCAATGGTCGTACGAATGTCAGGCTTGCACGCCTCAATTTAATAATAGGCAAATAGTGCGTTTAAGTAGGATTGAGCGATCTAATTTATGTTAACGAGTAATGCTGAAACGCTTTGTCATCTTCTGCAGTAGTAATTTCAGATTAGCATTCATTAAAGCATCTGCAGCAGTTCGCGTGACTCGACCTTTTTTCTTCCCATTGAAATAATTACAATTTTGCGCTTAGACTCAACCCCAAAAGTCTCTCAGCACTTAATACGGCTGCAAAAGTTAGGAGAGCATTCTACAGCTCGCTTTAGACATAAGTAGTTAAATCCAAAGAAATTTAAATTTAGCTGCAAGCCCTAAAGGTGAAGCTGTTAGTGACAGTGCGCAAGGTTGAATATCAAGCTTCTAAGATTGTATTTATCTGTATGTATGTGTGTTTCTGTGATTAACGCGGTTAGGTGTACCTATAATTATGACCATTTTTTTATATTTTAAATTGGATTAATTGTGGTTTATTTTCTTGTGATATACCTAATTGGGGGAAAGGCTAGATCGCACTTGTAACACGTTCAAGTGCGATCTAGCCTTTCCCCCAATAGGTATAAGTTATATTTACAGTAACTCTTTGGCTAGTTCACTACTGTGATGCACTCGTGTGATTGATTTCGAGTCAGTCAAATGTTAGTCTTATCATGTAAACAAACACTGGACGCTCATAAGCAATAGCTGGACGTATTCTTATGTATACCGTTTGGGGTTAATTTAGACATTAACATGATCGTGCTCCTTTCTTATTGTATAGTGTTTTGCAACTTGATTAAGTTCTATGAACTGGATTACTTGTATCAAAGGGCGAGCTCCATAGCCTGCTCCCTTATCTTATTTACATTTGATCAATTCTAAGCCGATCACAAGTGTGCTTCACAGTAGTGAACTAGCCAAATAGTGACTTTGGATGTACCTGTACTTGTGAGAAGAGGAAAGGCTTAATTGCACTTGGAACTTGTACGGTACGCATCAACGCGTTATTTATAGACACACACACAGACACACAAACAAGTAAAATTCAAAAATTCGGCATTCAACTTTGCGCACACTCACGAATAGCTGACACCCTTCGGGATCGCAATTAAACGCTCTCATGGAAAATCAAACAAGGTGTAATTACAGCTGCTAAGAAGAGCTCTAACGAGTCGACAATGCTTGCGGTAATAATGCAACGGAGCATATAGCAAATTTAAACACTTGGTTAATTTGTAACGATCGATAGATATTATGGCAGTACAGGTCGTCGGGAAGCGTATCTACAGATGTTCGTAATATTCACTCACCTACGATTGATGTTAATTTTTAGACAACAATGATTGCCGTATAACAGGCACGATGGGGCTGATTCACACAAATGCACACAGGTCTCCGTCTACTAACTTTTAGCCTTCGTGTACACACTTCATATAAATTAGAAACGGTTATCAGTTATCGGATTGTGGTGGCGTCGTACACTAGTAATTCTACCAATTTATTATGAAACATAAATTAAGAAAAAACAAATAACAAAAGTTAAAGAAAATTACTTTTTGCCAGATATACTGCAGTAAAGTCAATAACTAAAGGTATACATAAGTGAAATGATTATCTAGAAATACTCACCTCTATTCCACCGCTAAAAATCTTTTTTAAAATTAGCGGACTGATAGCCCCAGAAACCTTTTACACAGGTTCCTACCCCATGTTTGTAACATTTGTTCAGGTTGGGCCTCAAGATTAGAGTCACTTTGGCATCCTAATAGTTTGCTGAGGTTGATCTTTGTTGATTAAATATGTAATCTTTTAGCAGACTTTCCATCGATGATGCAATCATCTATCTGATAGAGCGGGGGCTTCTAGTTATCGGGGGGTAAATTCATCAAAGGGGGAACTGTACGTTAATGGGGAATCTAAATGGATAATACTGATTGTATGAGGCTTTAACGACGCGTTCTAGTTCTGA